TCGGCGGGCGCGAGTGGCCCGCGTGGTGTTATTTGGCAGGGATCGCGCCGCCCCCCGCCTTCAGCACGCGCACAAGGGTGTTCGAAGGGTTTGGACTTGCGCGCGCGAGATGCCCGTTTGGTCGCATTTGATGAGCACGTTGACGGGCTTATGTTTCCCCCCCCCAGAATCCGCAAGTGCGCGCGCAGTTTTGTTCTTCATTTTTTATGTAAAAAGAAGCCACGATACACAACTATGTTTTTGTATAACATATGTGTTTTGGGCACTCGGTCGCAAACTCCTTGCGAAGCCCATGGTCTTGAATGGATTTCGGCATGCGCGCGCGGCGACGCGCGCGTGTGCACCTCGTCCCTTTTGTTGCGCAGCGTCCTTGCAGCTTTATCATTTGGTGATAGAAGATCGCGCGCGCAGTTGCTGTTGCAACGGATGGCTCGCGTGAGGGGGGTGGTTAGGGGCTGGCCTGGGTGGAGTGAGTTTGTATTTACAACGAACGATGAAACAACATCAGATGCGCCTCGCAAATGACCTGTGGGTGTCCGGCGGTGGCAGATCCCAGGCCAGTGTAAGAAAGGGGAATAAACGAAAGCGCGCCAGTGAGTCGTGTATTGCAGTGCTCGCGCAATTTTCACACCTGTCCACCCGCAAAGTGGTTTGCCAAAGCCCACGCGGCGGCGATTGCGATGACTGTTCGGCGCTGGCTGGCGCATGGCTGCGGCCGCTCTAGTCCGCGTAGGCTCGCGGGCAGGGCGGCCAGCTTGTGTGGCGCGACGGACGCGGCAGCGGTGGCGCTGGCCGCCATGGACTCCCCAGCGCGTCTCGTGGCCAGCGCTGACGCGCGAGCACTCCATTGCGAGTCGGTGATTCGGGCGGGCGCACTATCGTGACGACGCCGACAACGGCTGAAACGATGACGATCGCAACGATGTTGGTGACGATAGTGGCGCTTACAACGGAAATACCAATGACGGCGCCGATGCTGATCACGCCGTTGACGAGGATGGTGTCCACGCGTCGGTCATGAAGGTTTTGGGAAGAATTCGTCATGCGAGCGCGGCCGACGGGCGCGAGGGCCCCGCGTGGTTTTATTTGATAGTGATCGCGCTCCCCCCCTTAGCAAGCGCGCAAATGTATCCGAATGATGTTAGCGAGATGCTCGCTTGTCCGCACTTGATGAACAGGTTGAAACAAATGATTTCCGCGGGGATTCACACGGGCGCGCGCACAGACTGTGTTTGAAACAAACGCGTTGCGCAACCATGTTTTAGTCTGTTTCTGGAACTTCGGTTTATCAGTCCTTGGGGAGCTTATGTTGTGACAGATGTTGTTATGCGCGCGCGGCGAAGCGCGGGTACGCTTTCACATGTTTTGCAAAAGGGTCTTTGGAACACATGCGGGTATGCGATAAACGAGTGCGCGCGCATAGTATGATGTGATAGGGATGATGGGGGAACGATGACGGAACTCCTTGGGATGGTGCGAGGTCCGCTCGCGATTACATTGAGAGGGGGGGCAGCTTCACATATATTTTACGAAAGGGAGAATCTAATCTACGTTGCGCAATATATGGTGACAACGGGGCGGCGACGGCGGCCACATGTCCGCCAAACCGACAGACAGGCCCAGCTCCAACCGCATTAGATATTCTTCGGGTGGCTCTGAACAGGTGTAAACGCGTGCAAGCTCACCCCCAAGACTCCCTTGCATCTTAGGGTCACGAAAGTCTCCCCCGCAACCCTTTTCGTCGTTTCGTTTGACTTCTGCACCTCTTGCTGCCATGAGGGTGCTCTGTTTGGGCAGTGTTTCTATACGCGTTCCCTGGGAGTCCCGACCCTTTCCCGGGACCAGGGCGTTCCCTTCCGAAGCGTGTCTCGACGGTCCCGGGGCTTCTCAGGGCTTCTGAAGACCGAGCGCCCTCACAACGCCCTAGGCTCACTGTCCACGCGCAGTGTTGGTAGCCAGTTCCTGCCAGGCAGCGCACACACAAGAGCCACGTTGAATAAAGGCATAGACTTCATGGAGAACGAAAGAACCCCTAACCCGAAAAGCACGATGAAGACGTGGCCTCAAGTAGGTCCCCGCCTTCGCATTAGGGACGATGGTTCTGGGCAGTTTGATTTGATACATCTGCAGAAAAGGCCCCCGTATCCTTGATATTTTCGGCCCTCCTAACTTAGGTCCCCTCCCAAAGGGTTAGGGGTCCTTTTGTGGTCGATCAAGATATTCGGGAAGTCCCGACCCTTTCCCTGGGGGCCAGAGTTCCATTCCGAGACGTGGTTCGACGGTCCCGGGCCTCTCAACTAGGGTTCCCTGAGGCCGAACGCGACCGAGAGCCTCCCGCCGTGTTCTTCTCCCGAGCGGCGCTTCGCTCGAGGATTTTGATGGAGCTTCTGGAAAATATAGAAGATAAAATCAGCGCTGAAGTCTAGGCCTCCCGGATGGACTGCACTGCATCGCCGATGCATCGGCGATGCGGTGCAATCTTCCGACCCCATCTGCTCGGACCCCACCCGGGAGGCCTCTAAGAAGAGCCCTGCAGAGTGGGACGGGGAGACCGAGACCGCCGGGTGCGGCAGCGGTCCGGCAGCCATTTCGCCAGAGTTTTTGTTTACAATCTGTTCTGGGGTCGTGCTCTCGCTTCAATGCCGGCTACATGTGTGGTCCGGAGGTAAGCAATATACAGGAAGGTGCCCATGGCCGCGCTCTCGCCCTTGTCCCTGCAGCATCCTTCCGACGAGTCGTGAGGAAGATGCCCAGGAATGAGACATCGTTTCACCAGCCGACGTCCTACTTCTCGACCCGCCTCTTCACCCTTTTTGCTGTTAGGGTGTTCTGTTTGGGTCCCCTGTCTCGAGTTTTTCAATGCGTGGCTCCTGGAGGTGCGGACCTTTCCCCCGCGGTCGGCTATCCGTCCCGAGGCGTTTGTGTTGCTGTCCTGAGGCCTTGCGAAGGCCCCCAGAGGCCGAAGACGGCCAACTACCTCACGGCTTGCCAGCATCAAGTCGGGCATGTCCTTCTTCAGGAGGAATCTTCAACAATTGTCAGAATAGCCAGGGGACGATGCTTCTACTATTCTTGACTATTTGGGAGCATGTTTTTCCTATCTCTTATGTTTCACCCAAAATCCGCCTGCAGGAGGACACGCCCGACCTGACGCCAGCACGTCGGGGCCACCTGTCAGGCTGGCGCCCTTGTCCTGCCCTCGCTTCACTTGCGTCCGCTGGCTCGCAGAGATCCCGAGCCATCCCACGAGGTCCGACGTTCATGGGCCTGTTTTCCACCACCACCACCATAAGTTGGAGGGGGGAAGGAGGTAGAGGATGAGGAGGAGGAGGAGGAGGAGGAGGAGGAGGAGGACCCCCTCCCCCTCCCACTTATGGTAGTGGTGGTGGAAAACACGCCCACCAGACGTTGCGAACAAATTGCAGCATCGCGAGCAACCACTTCGAGAGCCCCAGACCCCACGTGTCGGAGGCAGTGTTCGGGCCGGATCGATCTGCGAGGGCCCCGAGGCCCGAAAAACGAGGCGACGATTGGTCGGCGCGAGCGCAAGGAGCTCTCGGGGAACAGAACTGCAACGCCGCAGCTTCCGCGGAAGAAAGGAGGAGGAGGAGGACGAAGAGGAGGAGGAGGAGGAGGACGAGGAGGACGAGGAGGACGAGGAGGAGGACGAGGAGGAAGAAAGGAGGAGGAGGACGAGGAGGAGGACGAGGAGGAGGAGGAGGAGGAGGAGGATCTCGGGGGACCCCGAGCCATCCCCTGTCCAGTTGACGCCCCGTCCTGCCGTCGCCTAAACGTGGCGAACATGTCCGTTGCAAAAAAATGTTGGGATGCCGGGATCTCAGGGGGCCCTGAGGTATTCCCAGTCTGGCTGGCGCCCCTGTCCTGCCTTCGCCTCGCGCCTCGCCTCCTTCCACCCCCACCTCGCCTCGCCTGCGCCCTCGCCTCGCCTCCTTCGCTTCGCCTTCGCCTCGCCCTCCCTCCTCCGCCTTCGCCTTCTTCCCATTCCTCCCCTCCTAACTTCTTCGCGTATATCGCACTGCATGTGTCCAGAAACATGCCAGATTCTCCAGGCCACGGCCTCACCCACCTGGTCTGAGCCAGGCCCGGACGCTGTCAGCAACGGTGGTCGCATCACATCGCCTCGCGCCTCGCCTCGCCTCCCCTCCCCTCCTTCCCTTTCGCCTTCGCCTTCGCCTTCGCCTCGCCTCGCCGCCTTCGCATCACATATCCTCGCGCCTCGCCTCGCCTCCCCTCCCCTCCCCCTCGCCTTCGCCTTTGCCTCGCCTCGCCTCAGCTCGCCTGCTCCCCTCGCCTCCGCCTCCGCCTTCGCCTCGCCCTCAGGGCGAAGCGAAGGATGGCCGGGCGAGGCGAAGGCGAGGCGAAGGCGAGGCGAAGGCGAGGCGAAGGCGAGGCGAAGGAGGGGAGGCGCGAGACGAGGAGCGAGGGCGAAGCGAAGGCAGGCGGGCGCGAGGCGAGAGGCGGGGCGAAGCGAAGAAGGGCAGCCCCCCCCGCCTTCCTAGACCTCCTCGCGCTGTGAAGAGAAACCACGACGGAAGGCTTTTCGCTGGTCCATCCCGACGGGGGGTCTGTTGACGACCTTCGGCCTCGGGGGGAGCCCTTCCTGGGGCTCGGGGCCGTCACAGACACGGCGCGGGACGCAAAAGCCGGCCCCGAGGAAGGGGTCACAGACCTGCGGGGGTCGACGCTGCTCCTCCTCCTCCTCCTCCTCCTCCCCCTCCTTCCTCCTCCCTCCTCCTCCTCCTCCTCCTCCCTCCTCCTTCCTCCTCCTCCTCCCTCCTCCTCCTCCTCCTCCTCCCTCCTCCTCCTCTCCTCCTCCTCCTCCTCCTCCTCCTCCTCTCCTCCTCTCCCTCCTCCTCGCTGCTCGTGCTCGAAGAGCTCACGACGTCGGGGGCCCGGGCCCGCCCTCGCCTCGCCGCCTTCGCCCTCGCCTCCTGCCCCACCGCCGGGGGGGGGGGGGGCGCCTTATTGCTTCGCGGCAGGAGCGGGAGCCGGCGCCCCGGCGGCGCCCAAGGGGGAGAAGCGGAAGGCCCAGGGTCGGGGGCGCTCGGCCGGCCAGTGGGAGGGGGCGGGGCGATCACGGTGGAGCTTCCGGGGGGTCTCGCTTGTCTCACCACCCACCAAACGACCCCAACCCAACCCGAAGGCCTCAATTTTCTTTCCATTTCCATCGGGGGGGGGTCGGGGAACATTGAAAAAACACGCATGGAGCCCGTACCCCCCCCAACCCGAAATTCGGGTCTTCGGGTTGGGTTGGGGTGGTCTGGTAGGTAGTCATTGTCCCCCGGACTGGTGTCTTGTCTGGTGCCCGGCGCGGGCTCGATGCGGACTCGACGCGGATTTGGCGCGGACTCGACGCGGATTCGGCACGGATCTGACACGGATCCGGCGAGGCCGGCATGGATTCGGCACGGATGCGGCGCGGATGGGGCCGCGAGGGGCCAGACAAGGTTTCTCTTCCAGGATGCAGCGTGAGGAAGGGGGTTGTCGTCGTGGGCGAAACATCTCCGTACCCGCGGCCTCGCGGGCCGAGCCCCCGGGCCGCGACCCCGCAGGCACGGGGCGCTTTTTCGCGGATGCCTCGCGCGGAGCGCGCCTGTGCGACAGCGCAACCGCGGGATCGTACCCCGGAATCCAGACCGCGAGGGCGCGGGTATTGATATGTTCGCCGCTCGTACGTTCGGTAGCAGATCATGGGAGCCTTGCATACTCTCGCAGTTCCCTCGTTTGAGTGCGTTGGTGCCGACTACCGTCTGTTAGTCGATGGGATAGCGCCGATGTGGCGTCTATTAGCGTCGATTCGCGTCGATCACCGTCGATTCGCAAGAGCAAACAAGATAGTATTGGAGATCCCGACTAGTTGCCGCACAAGGAGCATCAAGGGAAGAAGTACGATGACCATGACCAAGATGTCGCGGGATCCTGTCAACGTCGATCTTGGTCATGGTCCATGCTGGCCGTCGCCGACTTGCGAGGATGATCGACGAATCGACAATAACTAAAATGGATGATCGCCAAGGTGGACACGACGTTTCCGCGTTCAGTTTTGGTCATGGTCCCTGTTTTCTCCCCCTCCAAGATCAAAGGAGGAAGAGGCATCGATAGCGCGATCCTTGTCTCGATTTGGCCTTCTTGGGCCTCCTGGGAGGCCTTCGTCGCCACCGCTGGATTCCCCTCGAAGTGCTAGTCATAAAACGCACTCCGGGAGAGGTCCAGGGATCATCGGTATCGGTACTGTTCTGTTCCCCCAGGGGGGGAGGAGGGGGGGGTAGGAGGGGGGGAGAAGAGTCCAGCCTTCCAACGTCTTGAATTATGATGTTGAACCTCTGCTAGGGTCTATAACAGCTGAATTATTTGTTTTAGGTGTCGCCGGCCCGTGGGGGGTGTCGACAAGGGTATCGCGGGAAGGTGTCGTCAAAGGTGTCGCCCGCAAAAGGGTGTTTATGAAAGGTGTCGAGCAGGGTATCGTGTTCCTGTGTTTTCTAAAAAGGGGTATTGGCGCAGGTGTTCGCTGTTTGGTTACTCTATCGTTTTCTTTGAGAAATCGCCCAAACATATGTTGTCTAAACGTACGAAATGATTTAGTACTCCCCATTTCGATCGGGCAACTCGTGCTGCCACAGCGTCGCGCCCCCGATCGGATACAATAGCGACGGCTCGTTGGGCCACAACGCAATCATTACAGAAGGTTGCGCCGCAACCTTCTGCAATGACAAGTTTGTGCTTGTGCCTTGGCACTCGATCTGGACTCCGCGTTGGTTCGTCCGTCTCGTCAAAATGTTCTCCTCCTCCCCTCCTCCAAATCCCCTTCGCCCCCCCCCGCCCCCCTATTCCTCCTCGTCGCCCCCCGTGCCATGCCAGTAACCGCCTTCATCGTGTTCAGTAACCTAGTCGTTTCCTCATTCACTTCCTCACCGTAGTCCTGTCCCCCACAACCATTCGACTTCGTTTTCTTTCATGGCTCGCGTTTCGCTGAAATGTCTATATGTTGGCTAGCGTCGTCAGGTTTTGGCTTGCCCATCGCATGTATGTCTAGACCTTTATCAATGTCGAGCTTGGGGGGCAACGGGGATGTCTTTGGGCAAGCGTTGGCCATCTTGGCGGCCGTCTTGGAGACTTGGGCCGTCTGGGAGGCCATCTGGAACCACCTTGGACGTTTTGACGGGTGAACGGGAGGGGGCGCGGACTAATGATGATACGCATGACGCAAAAGGACGGCGGACGAATATATAGATGAGAAGGGGGTGGGTGCACGAAGGGCGAGGGGTTGTAGTGCCACCTCGAAGGGTGCGGGGGCGAGGGGCTTCAAAGTTTGTGCGGTTGGAAACCTATGTAAGGTCGTTCTGAGTATTGAGTCAGTAGGTGTGCTTGGTTCGAGCACCATCGATTTTGTTGATTGGTCTCTGCTGATGTCCTCTCTCTGTGCGTGTGGCCGCCCTGCTGAAACTCCCTGCGAACGCCAGGGAAGCTTGTCTGACACGCCGCCGAAGATTGGAGAGGCCCCGCCGTTCGCCGATAAAGCTGCTGTATGTTTGTGGGATATACCGCCGTGGTGCAACCCAGTACACCCAAGCTATGATTCACGTATGGTTGAGGCTCAGGCTGCACTCAAGTTTCGCATGAAACGTAAGAATCAGGGCCCGACAAAAAAATGGTGGCAGATCGATGATAAGAAAACAACGGTCGGTGTGTGGTTGCCAAAATTGAAAAAAACATCATCCTGTTGTGCAGCTAAGAGTGTTGCTTCCTCGTCCTCCTCCAGTGGAGTACGTTTCACCAACAAGGCTGCCCCTGACAATGATGTAGTAGAAGTCATTGTCATTGATTGACGCCTCGGGGCGTTTGAATTATCTTCGCCGCTTGATGGGGCAAGCGGTGTGCTGAGGCTGCCAGAAAACATAATAGCATCATTCCTCCTCCTCCTCCTTGCCCCCCCCCCTCCTCCCAGCCTCTCCTTTTTGGGAATGTTCTGAGCTGGAGGGGGGCAAGCTCGATTGACCTCGAGGTTTGTAAGCCGCGACCACCCTGGATCAATCCAATGCATTGTTGGAGCCATGTTGGAGCAATCCAGTGCCGTCTTGGAGCCATCCATTTTGGGGCAGTGTCTTGGACCAATGTCTTCTGGGAGCCACAGTGGGCCAATACAATGCCTTCATGGGGCCATCTTGGACAACTGTCTTGGGCCAATGCCTTCTTGGAGCGATCTTGGGCCAATGCCATCTAGGACAAATGTCTTGGGCCAATGCCTCGAGAGTTTCCGTTTCCGTAAACTTTGGCACGAGCGTGCTTTCGTTTCGTTTGATTTCATGCCCCGAGGGCGGCCTCCAGGATCGGCTTCCTCTCGAGCGCTCTGGGATGAGGTCGTGCACGAGTTTCGTGCAGCTGCATCGGGCGCAGCCGCTGGAGAGGGCGCTGCGCCCGCCGTCGCCGCCGCCCACGCCCGCGCCGCGAACGCCCGCCAGGCCCGCGAGGCTAAGAGGCAGCGGCGCGAGGCAGCGGCGGCGGCGGCTGGCGGCGCCGGAGGCGCTGCATCGCAAGCGCTCGTGATTCGTGGTGGGCCTGTTGCGTCGCCGTGGATATCCCCAGACGTGTGCGCCCGATGGAAGGCAGGGCATGTTCCCAGGGTACCGTTTGTGCCCTCGCCCATGCTCGTTCACGGTTGCAAGGTTCTGGACGGTGCCAGGTTGTGCAGCATTGACCTTCATGACGGCTTGAGTGCAGTGGCGTTTGATTTGTTCGGTGGTTCTGGCCAACATCAATCCATTGTGGCTCGCGCAGAGGCCTTGGATGTGGACCGCTACCAGCTGTGCAATGACACGAGGCTGCTGGGCGCCGCATTACTTCTTTCAGATCTGATGGCCAGGAAATCTCTCGAAGAGAGGATCGCGAGCCTCCAGTCTGACAAATACGAATTAGTTTTTTACGCAGAGTACGATCGGTATGATGAGTCAACGATGCCCGTGACAGTCAGCAAGCCCTCGGAAGCTGATGACCTCGCGAGAGACTCTGGCATGGAGGTGGCGTGTCCCCAGGCCGTGTTGGTGAAGGCGTTATCCACGGGCCGACGTTCTTTGAAGGACAGTGGCAGGGCCAAGATTGTGCAGGCCAGTGTCGGGTTCGGCATGGTCGTGAGGAAGTTGGCCACGCACGCTGGCGGGGGCGACCAGTATTTCTCCATCGTCGGCGACACCATCACGTCTTTGCAGACGTGCGACAGAACGACGGCCGAAGTGCTCAAGCATCTGGCTTTGTCTCCGTCTGGCGCCTCATTGGGCGCGAAGCGGTTCAAGGTGAAGGCCCGCGTGGTCAGCATCGACCACTACGCTGCCAACCTCAAGGCAGAGCGGTCCATCAAGGCAGATTTGGAATGGTTATCTTTGGTCATCGGTTGCGAGGCACACAGCGTGAGCACGATTCACACTAGGGTGATGGATCTCTTTACTTTCGATGTGAGTGGAGCGTTGCACGTTTCGCTGGCTGTGGAGTTGGCTGGCATGATGGACAAGTTCCGCGCGTCTCTGAGAGCAGTCATTATAGAGAGACTTGTGTGGCCACCCTTGCGAGGCCGTCCAAGCGCCGATGCTGAGCGCCACCGCCTCCGCTGCATACATGCCTTGACCGTCGGCTTTTCCAAGGCATCAAAGCTGCAGCAGCAAGCGTTGCTTAGGAGCATGCCGCTCGGTGATTGGAGGAAGCGCGATGTAGTGGAGGTGTACCTGACGGGCCTCGTGGGCGAGCTCCCGTCGAAGGCGGTGCTCGCCAAGGAGGTCGCCCACTCGCTGGTGCAAGGGATCTCGTGGCACAAGTTTGCCAAGTACCCTCGGAATCGGTGGCTCGGTGGCGAGGCCGCCATTTCGCAGCCGACGCTGATCGATGCGTGCCATGGCCTCTTGAGGCCGACCTTCGAGCACTTCTGCCGCTCCGTGGGCAAGGTGAAGGAATCGCCCTTGGGGGGGAAGCAATCAGATTCGCGGGGGCAGCGCCGAGTAAAGGCTCCTCCCCCACCCCTCCCCTCCTCCACTCTCTCATCCTATCCGTCCTCGCATTCCCTCCTCCGCTCGCCATGTTCATCGCCCTCGTCTCCGTCTCCGCCGCCCCCTTCACCCCTCCCCTGCCCTCCCGCATGCGACTTGGGCCCGCTCCCACCGCCGCCCGCGCATCCCCCCCCCTCGCTGCTCCCCCTCATCCTCCGTCCTTCTTGTTCTTCTCATCACCATTTAACCCCTCCTCTACCCTCCCTCCTCCACCTCTTTTTGCGCTCGTCGCGGATCTGATTTTAGGGCTTCCCCCCCGAGCTGCAGCGCGCCATGATCACGGCGGCGTTCTGCTACCATTCGAAGGCGGTGCTGCCGAAGTTGGGGCGCCTCATCAGCCTGATCCTGATCAGCAGCACTGGGCGCCGCCTGGGCTGACGGCTCCGCAAGTCAACGAGTTCCACAGGAAAAAAGGTATTCAGTGGCTGGAGACCCATCCTTTCACGAATCTTGTAATCATGCGGAATCTCTTGGTCCCGCTTCAGCGCCTCCAGAGGAGGTACGTGTACATCGGATCACCTGAATACGAACGGCACGAGGCGGCTCGCGAGGCGAAGGCGACGGAGGAAGGCGATGGTCATGGTCATGTTGCCAGGAGCTACCCTTTGACGATTGCTGCAGAATGTTCTTTGGAAGGGGAGGCTTTGGTTGGCATCCGCGGCCTCCTGCATCAGCCCAGCCTGTGGTCTCTCATCCCAGAGACCGATTTCAGGGCGAAGTTCGTGGGGTCAGCATTTCGGGCGCGCAGTCGGGCTGGTGGCCTCGTCCACGCCAGGCTGCAGTTCATCCACGACAGGTTCCCCTTCAGGCTGTTCTTGTTGGTTAAGAACCCAGATCTGGCAAATTCCACGCAGCGAGAGGCTGCGTGTTCCAGGGATTCTTTCACGCAGGACTTCTGTCAGAAGTACTCCCTCGACGACCCGTGCGCGCGCTACGTTCTGTTACTTTTGGCGCAAATGGTACGGATCACGATCGCAGACATCGAGTGCAGACACGCATCTCTGAGGAGGCTCCTGGTCAGGATCCAGGCGAAGTTCATCGAGCTTGAGAGTTTGGCTAGCAGGTGGGTTGCCCAGCGGTATCGGCGCCGCGCCGCGGACAACCGGCACACAGGCTCCCCCTTCAGCTCAGACTTCTTGCGCCGCGCCTCTGCCGAGCATGCGTCCGACCCAGATTTGAGCTGCGAGTTGGGGCGTGCTGGGAAAGTGCGAGCACCTGGGCTGTGGAGAGTTTTCGTCGCACTTGAGACTGCTGGGCGGAAGGGGCAGGGGCGCCCAGATTTTCGGGAGCTAGCTGCTAGGTGCCACTCCATGTCCGCGGAGGAGCTCGGATATTGCCGACGCGTCAGCGAGAGCACGGCAGCCTCGAGAAAACAATCTGGCAAATCTTCTAGCATCGCACCGAGGGTTTCTGAAGTCGAGGTTGCTACGAGGGCCGCCCAGGACCAGGCCTTGAGTCGCAGGATGCGCGTGTCCATGGATTCAGAGGAGCGCCCATTTCTCAGCGACGATGTGTTCACTATGAACCTTTCCCTTGACGACGTCATGCGCCTTGCTCGTGCACACTGCGTCGCATTCGAGAAAGATCGAGCACGCCTCGAGGAGCTGGAGACATCGGCCTTGCAAGCTTACCACGCGCGGTTCACCGACGCGGAGCGTGAGGCGTTGATGTCCCCTTCGCTTTCATCATCAACTCGCTTCGGTTCCATGTTCAGGAGGCAGTCCATGGTCATGCAGACGTTCCGCTTCGAGCCCGACGTATCGACAGTGGCCCATCAGCTCGTCGCCTTTGCGAAGAAGCACGTGGGCTCCACGAATTTCGGGCGCGCTCTCAGCGATTGGTGGGTCGGCAAACACGCTGCAGTTCTCCACGACACGTGCCCTGTTATCACCAACGCCGCCGACAGTTCATCGCAGTGTTGGAAAGCTGGTGTGTGCTTATGCTCAGTCGAGGGTGTCCGTCTCAGTGTTTTTGGCCGTGCCATGGAGGCAGTCATAAAGACGAACTTCAAGCGAGGGTCTCCGCAGTTCAAGAAGCTTCAGCAGTCTTTGGTGTTCATCTACCTCCAAGCACATCGTCTTGGCCAGGACCCCGCCGACCCACCTGTCGATGAGCAGTTCTGGCACGTCTCATTCTTGAACATATCGCCGTTCGAGCTGACGATCCAGGACATGGTTTGGGACGGCATCTATCATGCAGGTGCCGTTGAGTTGCAGTCTGTTGGTGAGTGGTACCACCACTGGGAGGCCTTCCAAGAATGCAGAGGCTCGGGGGCCCACGTTTGGAGATGCAGGTTCTACGAGCTGGACATGAGCATGAGGCCTACTGGGGGCTTCGATCTTCGCACTGTTCGGGCACTCCCACTCTTTGGCGGCCAGCTTCACGACGTGACGAAGGCCAGGCGGAGACCTCCTGGAGGAGGCGGCGGCGGAGGTGGTGGCGGCGGGGGTGGCAAGAAGCGCCCGCGACCCAAGGCGCTCCCCGCGCCAGATGCGCCGCTGGCGATCGAGGACGCTGCTGATGCAGACGGCGCCGATGATGCTGGCGGCGGCGGTGCGGATCCAGGAGGTGGCGCTGCTGCTCATGCTGGTGCCCCCCCAGAGGCGTTCGTGGTGGAGGCGGCCGCCGACGTGCCGCTCGACTGGGGCGTCGACCTGCTCGACGACATGGTCGACGACGGCGCCGACCTGCTCGACGACATGGTCGGCGGAGCGATCGATGCCATCGAGGTGGCTCCTCCTCCTCCCCTCCGCCTTCTTCTCCTCCTCCTCGCCTCCTCCTCCTCCTCCTTCTCCTCCTCCCCCCCTCCTCCTCCTCCTCTCCCCCCCCCTCTTCCCCCTCCTTCCCGAGGGGGGGGGACGAATGGAGAGGAAGGGTGAGGAGGAGGAGGAGGAGGCTGAGGGCTGAGGATAATGACGAGGAGGATGAGGGGGAGGAGGAGGAGGAGAAGGAGGAGGAAGAGGAGGAGGAGGAGGAGGAGGAGTAGGAGGAAGAGCACGAGGATGAGGAAAAGGACGAGGAGGGGGAGGCGGACAAGGATGGCGGAGGAAAAGGGCGACGAGGGAGAGGAGGAATAGGAGGAAGAGGAGGAGGAGGAGGAGGCGGACGATGATGGAGGAAGACTGGGGTAGCAAGGCCCGTGCACTGCTCAAATTGCTTAGACTGGGCTGGACAGTAGCAATTACAAGTAGCAGTACTTGGGACTGCACTGCTCTGCATTACAAGTAGCACTTACAAGTAGCAATACAGTCATTGCTACTTAGACTCAAAGTGCACTGCTCAAATTGCTTAGACTGGGCTTAATATGCTTAAATGATGAGTCCCTGCAACGCAGGGCCTCGCATTGCAGTACATTGAGTAGAGCCCGTTTTAGGAAGCACGCGCGTACTTATTGGTGGCGCATCGCGTATCCCCGCCAGCTCATCCAGAGAAGATGCCTAGGACAATTTCCTCGGCCTTCGACATGCAGCAACGCGCAGTGTAGCAGCCTGCAGCCCAACAAAGTGGGCCGTCGTGGGGGCCTCCTGATGGCTTCTCAGGGGTTCGCAGGGGGCCGAAGGGCTCCACGAAGGGCCCAGGAGGGCCCCGAAGGAGGGCGCCCAAGAGGCCCGATGTAAGCCCCACAAGGCCCCGAGACCGTTCCATGATCATGAAGGCGTCGCGGGGCCGTCTTGCGGCCGTCATGGGGCCGCCTTGGGATATTATCAGGGTCTTGTTGAAGCCCCAAGACTGGCCGCGGTCGGCCCGATCTTCAGATCAAGTAAACCTCCCCGCTGCAGGGCCGCAACGTACTCAAGAGACGGCAATCCTCCTCCTCCTCCTCCTCCTCCTACTCCTCCTCCTCCCCCCTCCTCCTCATCATCCTCCTCCTCCCCCTCCTCCTCCCCCCTCTCCTCCTCCCCGCCTCGTGAGCATTCGCATCCGCGCAAATGTGACTCCTCGTCCTCCCTCTGATCCTCTTCCTCCTCCCCCTCCCCCCCCCCCTCCTCCCCCCTTTTCTTCCTCCATCATCGTCCGCCTCCTCCTCCTCATCCTCTTCCTAGCCCTCCTCCTCTCCCTCGTCTCCCTTTTTCCTCCTACATCCTCGTCCGCCTCATCCCCCTCCCTCTCGCGCTCCTCCCCGCTCTCTCTTGGGGCACCCTTGGGGGCTCTCGTGGGTCCTTTGCGTGACCTCGTTGGGGCCCCATCGGGCCCCCTGGGGGGGGGCCTCTCGGAGCTTCTCGGCGCCCCCTGGGGGCATGCTGCTGGGCCCAGGGGACCAGCGGCCCATGCTCGAAGAACCAAAGAGGAGAGGGGGGGGGGGGGAGGAGGAGCAGGGCTACGTCCCACGTGGGAGATCCGTCGGCAAAGGAGGACGGGGATGAGGGCGCATCTGTCGGCATTGCCTGCCCAGGTGATGCCCCTGGTGGTCGGCGACGTCGACGCCATGGAGGAGGAGGAGGAGGAGCTCGCCGAGGCGCTCGGCGTGGACGGCGCGGGCGAGGCCGAGGCCGAGGCCGAGGCAGGCTCCGCGGAGCCCGCTCCCGCGCCGCCCCCGCCTGCGCCGCCCGTGCATCACGGGCCTGCGCCACACCCCCCGCCCCCTCCTCCTCCGCCGGCCGGCCCGCCTCCCGACCTCGATCCGCCTGATGCGGATGTCATAACGTTCAATCTCCCGAGCGGGAAAATCACGTGGTATAGGCTCGGCAATAAGTTTGAGGCCAGATGTAGATTGAAGGGCCATGGTAAATGTGCGTTGACTCGGACTGCGAATTATGGTTTCAAGAGCACTGGTCGGCCCATAGGTTTGATGTTGGCTTGGCTGCACTCAGATGATCTAGTCAAATGGCCCACCCACGGAGCCCACGTTGCCCGAGCAGATGAGCTCGATCAGATAATATGTAAAGATATTCGCCGCGACATCCGTGTTCGTTTCATTGACCACCCAGACGTCAAGCGTCTCTGTGCAAAAGAACGTGTCAGGAGCGATGGCGAAGACATCGAGCCTGATGGTTTGTGAGTTGGCCCTTAGATACTGAGCACAAATGCCCCCCTCCTCTTCCCCCCTCCTCCTCCTCCTCCTCCTCCTTCTCCTCCTCCCCCTCCTCTTCCTCCGAACCTTTAGCCCTGCCCCTTCCTGTGTACCCAGTCCTCATTCCTCCGCCCTCCTCGCGCCCCTCCCCGCCCCCTTCGCCTCTCTCGGACTCGCGCCACTCGACGCAGGAAGGGGATGGGGAGGGAGGAGGAGGAGGAGGAGGAGGAGGAGGAGGAGGAGGAGGAGGAGGCGTTTGGCGTCCATGGTGCATCCGCCGCAGCACCACTGGCACGTGGGTTTGCCAAGACTGCTGTTGCGTCTTGATCGGACAGGCCCCCCATCGGTCCTCATTATCTTCATCCTGCTCCTCTTCCTCCTTCTCCTCCTCCTCCCCCTCCTCCTCCTCCTCCTCCTTTTCCTCCTCCTCCTCCTCCTCCTCCTCCTCCTCTTCCTCTTCCTCCTTCTGCCCAGAGGAGGGGGATTCAGGTGTCGTTCCTCCTGCTCCTGCTCACCCTCCTGCTCCTGCTCCTGCCCCATTCTCATCCTTTTCCTCCGTTTCTTCCTCCACCTCCGACCTGGCACGCCGCCTCGGACCCACGAGGGGCTACGAGGAGGAGGGGAGGGGTGAGGAATGGGGGGGGGGGGGTGGGGGGGGGGGGGGTGGGGGGGGGGGGGGGGGGGGGAGGGGGGGGGGGGGGGGGGGGGGGGGGGGGGGGGGGGGGGGGGGGGGGGGGGGGGGTGGGTGGTGGGGGGGGGGGGGGGGGGGGGGCACAGTGAGGCCTTGCCAACATGGCCCAAGAGGGTTCCACGGGGGCGGCCTGGGGCCCACTATTCCCCCAAGTTGGCCCCAAGAGGTCCTCAAGAATCAAGAGCGCCAACGCTGATTAGCAGCTTAACGTTTTTCCCGTTCCTTGCAAATGTACATGTTGTTCTTGGGTTCGCTCTGGTGTCCCAAGACAGCCCCCTAGGGGCTCCCAATAAGACCGCAATGGGGTTCCAGAGGTACCAGGGTCGCCGAATGATGGTGGTTCCATGGCGCCCAAGATGGCATCCAGACGCCCAAAGAAGCTTCCGAGTGGTGATCACACAGGGGGCCCAAGAAACAACGCCCGTCCACAATCCATGTGCAAGGAAGCGCATATGCTTAACATATGCGCGCGTTCGGCTTGCACGGCCTCCAGAGGCGCCCGAGCAGGTTCCAAGCTGCCCGCTGGCGGCCTCCAGCGCCCCCCCCTCATCACCGCCCCCCCATTACAAGCGCACTTCGCGCCCGCGAGGGTGGCCCCTGAGGGCCCCCCAGGAAGCGCCCGAAGCCATTTAGAGGCTCTCTGGGGACGCCCAAGAAGGCACTACAACTGCACCGAAAGCCCATCGAAACCACCAGCACAAAGCCCAGCCCCCAACTGCGGCCCAAGACGTCACCAATAGCCGCCCCAACACGTCATCTGGCCCTGGGCCCCCTCCCCCCCCCCCCCTCCCAAGGAGGGCGAAGGGTTCAAAGGCGGTGGCCTGGCGGGAAGAGCGACGCCGCCACCTTTCGAACAGGCGATGCGCTCCTCAATTCAAGAATTGCCAGGGGCAGCGGGTGGCAGGGCAGTTGGGGGCTACGGAGGCACTCGAACACAGGCCCGACAATGTTCGGGCGCGCAATGATGGCTCACGCCTCCGATATTCCGAAAGGGAGCTACAAGGCAGCGCTAGAGGCGGCAATCGCAAAGCTTCGAGGATGGCCTTGCGTGGCTCCAAGATTCCCTCAGCGGGGCCAAGGGCACCCCAAATGCGCTCCATCGCGGCCGAAGACTTTTACGACGCCGTCTGGAACTCTGCATTGGGGAAAGCGCGCACTGGTTACGACTTCCCCGTCGTCAAGCATGGTTGGGTGGACCGCTGTCAAGGCCGCGCGCGCTCCGAACCCTGCGCCCCCGCACCAGACCATCCGAAGTGAAGCCTCTTTGGGTTTATGGCGTCTGCCCCGCCCAGCCCCAACCACCTATCAATGGGGGGCGTCCACATTGCATTGCTCAGTGCGAACCAGCAGTTGCGCGCACGTCGGGGCGGGCATCGGCAGCGCGCCCGCGGTTGAACGCGCGCGAATCGCCAGGCGCTGCCGCGTTCCGTTGCGCATTGCTACCGCATGGGGCGTCGGGCGTGCATGTCGCCGTTGGGATTGCCCTCGCTGAAGCGAGTGCATGCGTCGACGCAGCCGCCGTCAGCGCGAACTTCGAACGGCGGGGGCGCCGACGCAGCTGCCATTGGCGCGAACTTCGAAGGGCAGGGAGAACGCGCGAGGGTGTCGGTCGGTCTGTCATCTCCTCGCTGCGAGGATCGCGCCGTCGCGGCGACGCTTGCATGGCGCGGCGCGTTGCCGCGTTCCGTTGTACA